ATGAAGAAAATGTAAATAAATAAAATTAAATAAATGCACTTTTTATAAAATATGCATTCATAGTATGGTGAGCAGTAGAGACATCAGAAGCATTTTAGTTCACCGCATAACAGTGATGACCTGATTACGGTTTGTATTAAAAAGCAATAAGCTCAGTTGCCTTCAAGGAATCCAGTAAGATGCAAGAAACCAAGTTTCTCAGTTTCATTTCTCTTGTACAGTGATGCTAGCAGGAACATTTGTACTTAAATCAGCAAATTACAACGTGACTATCTGACGCTGGTTATCCTAGGGGGCGCTGTGTACGCATTCTATGCCTCATTTAAAGCGCATGATCACTTATTCAGCTGACTGCACTATAAGTAGGACATATACTGATAATCCTATAGCAACGCATTATACAAACATGAAATGACTTATACTGCACATTGTGCAATTACACAGCACTGTAATGCGCTAAGAATGTTGCTTTCAGTTAGCTAGCGCACACTTGACTGCTGTCTTGGTGGCAAACAGAAGGTCACAGAACAGGCTTGAAGTTGAAACTGAAAATTGGAACTGTGTGATCAAAACCAATATAAATATTTACATCTGAGCACAACAGGACCTCACATGTAACATTAGAAATTACAGTTCATCCACATACAGTGAGCCATTGAGACCAATACAGTCATCAATTTTGTCCTCAGGGATGGGAAAAAATAAAATCACATGATTCTACATTACTCCATGAGGTCATGTGAGAGGTGGAGGAATGTGTTCTGGAGAACGGCAGAATGGATGTTCAATGATAGGAGAAAGAAGAAGCTGTGACAGCCTGACATTGTTATTTTTTAATGAACAAGTCAAATTTAAGAACAGCTGTTTGGCATTGGCAGTTAATAGTGATCTAGCCTGTCAAGTTTAAATAAAATGAATAAAAAAAAATTTACTAATTGTGTTCTACAGCACTATTTTTAAGCCTTCTGAAGCCATAAGACAAATCGTGTGAGGAAAAGACCAAACTTCCACCTGCTCTGGAATTCTGCACACGGGTTAGACATGAGCTTCGGGAGAGCGTTAGACCATCAGTGAACAATGCCTTAGGATGCATTTACAGTTGGCAGGATTGGTTTGATTAAAATGAACTCTGGTGTGATTGCTCTGTTAGTGTGGTTCATTTGAATAAACGTTAACACTTCCATCCGAACCTTGGTTAGACAGAATGTTCAAGCATACCTGGTTCTTCCCATCACAGGAGCTACATTCAGTTCAGGTGAATTTAGCCTGTTTAGGTTTAGGTAAGTTGGCAAACCTTATCCTAGTGCTGGGGGGTTTGACCAAAAATCTGTATCACAGTTTTTTTTTTAGGATTCTAGCAGTTTAACGGTTTATCACGGGTTTTCCCTGACTGTGCCTTTATATTAATCATAATGCATGAAACAATGACAGAAGCACTGCATTTTAATCACAATCCAAACAAACATGCTACAAATAGCATGAGCAATTTTTGATGCAAAATTTATAGCTAAAACAGATTGGTCTAACCTTATGTATGCCATTTAAAAAAAAAAAATTCATACCGTTTGCGTAAATAAAACCGGTTCACCATTTGAACCAGTTTAACTTTCCCTTCAACCCTCTACATTGCGAGTAAATCACTCGCATATGCGACTAAATCTTCACTCTGGCGACTAAATGATGTCTAATATTAGCCAATTGCTAATAAATTCTCAGATTTTACTCGCCAGTGTGAGAGTTGGAGGCTAAGTATAAGGTGTTAAAAATGATTGCATGAATGCTAAGTGAAGCAGAACTAAATGTATCATTTACCTTTTTAGTTCGGTACATTTGGTACATTTACTACAAGTGTACACACACCTTTTAATTTGGACTGTTCCTCACACAAACCTATTGTATGACTTCAGAAGATGCTTTTATAATAGTATTGTTTTTTACTCTTTCTTTTCAGGGCTTGTCAGGCATGGTAATTACAAACTGTCGAGTCAGTAATGACCGAATTTTAAAAGACCTAACTTTTCCTTTAAAGTACATCTTCAGGGATCAAAAAGGGTCACGTGCTTTCAGATTCAGCTGAACTCTGATGGTCTGTGGAATGACTTTTCATTCAGTCAGTGTTAGAAAGGGTTGGTAGGGCCTCATCAAAGACCTAACGAATAGTTTCTCCCATCACAACTTATTTTCATTTCATTTCAAGCTGCCACTACAATTTGTAGGCTATAAAGATAAGAAAATCAAATCAACACTATTTATCCCCATAGCAACAAATCATAAAATGACTATTGCGCTGATAAAAAATAACATGTACCAGATCACCTTTAACACATTAATAACGCAGCTGGCTGACAGCAACTCTACAGTGATACAAAACCTGCGTTGTGACACCATCAGGAAGTTATTTTTCACTTCCTGGGTAGACAATGTTGCAATGACTGCAATCGGGCCTGTCCTTCCAGGGCTCACTGGGAATCAGTTGCTAGGCAACCAATCAATATTTGACTTGGAGAACTGGCTGCTGGCACCTCCCCCCTCACCTCTCAGAGGGAGCTGCGCTCCGTGAAAGACTAACAGCGAATTCTCGCAGGCTTCTTGAATGAGCTGCTCTCAGCCCAAAAACACTCAAGCACAATGGTCATTATGTCACTTCAGGAGGAAGGGGGCACAGGGGTCTCATTCAGTACAGCTGCTACTGCTGGCTTCCGTGGCCTTTCCTTTATGACATCAAAGTCATCATTTTTGGAGGAGGAAGACAAAAGCCATTTCCTTTGCTTCTTCCTTCAACCGGACTTTTGGATGTGGAAGATAATACACGTCACCACCGTTTTGAAGACAAAACCAGATGGTTCTGTTTGGTAGAAGTTTACATATACTACCAAGTCTGGTTGCAAATACCTATATGGAAATGCACACAAACTAGCTTACTGCAATGGCTAGCTGTGATAACAGATGGTCGTATCCGGACCAACTCCTTAGATATGAACCTGGCCCAAGTCAAGTCATTCAGGCGGCGCCAAAACATTGCACTGGAGTTCCCTGTGCCATCCGCTTTTCTTGTAAATGCAGATCTGTGCATGTGCGTCAGCCCCACCTGATGTTTCAACACTGACTCACCTGGCTGAGCAGACAGAAAGGTGTGGCTGTGCTACACTAACATAACAGTACAAACTAGGGCTGTGCAATTAATCGAAATCGAATCGAAATCGCGATTTGAGACGTTGCGATTTCCTAATCGCAAAGCCTGCGATATGGACGCGATATTACTCTGTTCAAGAGCATATGCATGACTGCCAGCCTTGAGTTGCAGTCTTACTAACCAATAGAGTGAGCGCACCTCCGTTCTCCCCAATCAGCACTGCTCTAGCCAACTGCGTAAACACCCACCTAATGTAAACTATAATGGTGTCTATTTGATGGATTCTGTTGGTGGGATGTAATCTGGCAGATGGCAACCAATAGAACAACAGTAATTCCTATTGGAATAATGCCCAAAACAAAAAGGAATTTTGTAATGGTTTAATGGAAACTATAAAAATTTCTGTGATAGTTTCTATTGTTTTTTTCAGCAGGGTAATGATACCCATACTGTGCTGCACATTATTGGCAATATTGAGCTGAAGCTTGACTTTGCCAATTTAAAATCGCAAATCAAATCGCAATCGCAATATCTGTCAAAAAATAAATAAATCGCAATTTGATATTTTCCCCCAAATCGCACAGCCCTAGTACAAACCATCCTGATCTTGATAAGTGTGGTTTGGCTTGGCATTTTCCCTGTAGCAGGGACTGCACTGACTGTGGACCTACAAAAACATGAAGCTTGACTGGGAAATCACTATGGGTTTACAATGTGTTGGTACCATATTGGTTTTCAGCCAATAGAGTAATTTCTCTAAAATGTAATGGTATTGAATATTTAATTGTTTTTACTTATTTAGAGTCAGATCATCTTCTAGTACCATGTTAAAATAATGGCAAAAGATTATAGGTTCCTTTTGGTTCCTCTCTGAACTTGGCATGAAATAAAAATGGATCCTATCAATTTTGAAAATGCACGTTTTAGATTTATTGTGATTCACACACGAGTTTGAGTTTTTTTTTTTTACTTCATAATCTTTAAATCAAAATGTCATATACCTCATCTTCCAGTGAAACGACAGACTTCTTTCTGAAGACGTATTCCGGACATCTCCAATCATTAGCTCCTCCACAATTTACTGCAAGCTTGCGTGCAATGCCCACATTTCAAAATCCATTCAACAACTGATGGATAGAACCACGTCCTACGGTGACCCAGTGGTGCACAACACAACGAAATCGCCACAACATAACGCATAGAACTAATTCCGTTGTGTTATGCTAATTTCACTGTGTTGCGTCTTGTTTCCATTGT